CGTTTGATTACTGTATGCACCTTAAAGCTTGAAGTTCAGAACTGAAAGCCAGTTCAAAGGTCTGTCACTCGCATATCTGGCAGGCGTTGCGCAGGGACCTCCCTCTCTGCACATTTGTTGCGGACAAAAGTGGAACCGTATACGGCATTCACATGACTTGGATCTAAATGTCATGCCGCTAGAGTTCGTTTGATGTACGCGAGCAATTGCGCTGCGTGATGCATAAATCCCCATTTTATGGACAAAATACGATCCAAGTGAACCCCCCCCCCCCCCCGGTCGGGTCTTGCATGCATTGATTGTCGTGATTCGCGCTGCCCCTTTAATGGCTGGGAAAATATTCGGCGTGAAACCTGTCGCATTGATCCCCAGTGTTTCTCTGATTTAGCAGAGTAGTTCATCTTTGAAGCGAATAAAGATAATCTCCTCACAATGATTATATACGTGATATTCGCTAATGCAGTTGCATTTGTGATGTGTCTTTGGTCACGGACCTTGCTCATGGAACCGAAATGTTCAAATATAAAGCGGGCACAACTCATTAACATCACAAGACTCCTCACACACTGCCTTCAAAATAACACCCTCAGATTTAGCAATGACGACTACAAACAGCAACTCGGTATTGCCATGTGCAACAAGGTGACACCCTCATTGCAATAATCTTTATGTATAAATTTGAACAGGGTGCGATTGACAACACGAGCCTAAACCTGATTTTTACACCAGATACATCGATGATTCCATAGGGATGTGGACTCACTCTCACGATGAGCCATTGGTCTCCAACAGACACGTTAATTCTATCCAAAACAGCATCAAGTTTACCTTAGAATGCACCATTACGTCTGGACACCTTGCGTTCCTAGATACACTCTTCACGGTGGATCCAAGCTTCAGATTTTTGACAGAACTTTTCATCAAGCCTCTCCATTGCAGGGTCATCATTTAAAACACATCAGCCCGACCTAAGTTGACAACAAGGCCGTCCTCCGTTCAGAATTTCGACGTGCCGTGAGAATATCTTCAAATGGTGCTGCAAATGACCGCTCATATTAAAAAATGCAACTGCTCGAAGAAAATGGCTACTCCGAACATCTCATATGTCACCTTCATGGATAAGCCACATGACATCAACTGAACGAACAACGACGACAAAGACAACGGCAGAGGGAACTTCATCATCAACATTAACCAGAAGATCATCATCATCAGCAGGATCACCGTCAACGCCAACGAGACCAAGACGTAGACGGCCATCTTACGCTACCGCATGTGGATGAAGCTTTGAGTGTAAAGATAAATTCAACTGTCAAAAAGTTTTATCTTAATGGTCATCTAGAATCGCAAATCAAAAAACTTTGAAACACAATCTTGTTCGGTCGGCTTTCTCACAACCTGTATATCCATCCGGTATGCAACTTCGTAATGCGTGCATGTCGGGATTCAAAGGTAAATGTGTGACGCCTGGTGTTGTGTATTGTATAACGTGTTAACTTGGTCAGTTAGTTTATTGTATACGCTATGATTTATTGTGATTTGTTCCCTAGAAGTGTGAGAGATGTGTGTCATTTGATTACGTGTATGCTGAGAAAAAACCGCTGTCAACACTGGCTAACACCTGGTGCCCACTTTATATTTGAACGGTTCGATTCTGTGAGCAGGGTACGTGACCAACAATTTATGAAAAATATGATTTTCTTCTCGAATATTACATGCATAATTATGGTCAGGAGGTCTTCTCAATTCCCTTTTAATACTTACCATGCATTACACTGCACAAACACTGTAGCATCTTAGAGTAATAGAATGTTTTTTTTTCTGTAGAATGTTAAGAGCTGATTACCGTGTCTCGTGGAGGAAAATGGGGTGAGTTTGAGGTGCGTGTTTTTCTCCTTTCCCGAGGTGACAGCACAAGGCGATGCCAAAATTGAACACGGTTTTCGGTAATGAATTTTGGGTCTCACACAGCTTTAAGTTTAGTCACGATGTTCCCTTCCCTCAAAAACGGCCGATGCACGATGTACACGCGAGCACTAGATTTCACGCATGTGACGTAAAATGTGTGCCAAAGTTCCCTCCATCTTGAAAGCGCAACACAGCTCAGCTCATTGCGCTTTCGGTTGGTTCTTCTGATCTATCCCGATTGCAGGACTGCGAAGAATGCCAAGCCTGGTCCCAGAGCTCCGCACGCCCCGTCTCGCCAGAGCCGAGGCGAAGCCGGAGCCGGAGCCGGAGCCGAAGGCGGGATTGCGCCGGAGCCCGGGCCGGAGCCCGGGCCGGAACCGGAGTCAGAGCCGGCGCGGCGCCCGCAAGTAAAGGACCCGCACCGGCAGAGGCCCGCCGCGTATTGATCGCCAACGTGACCTCCCCTCCTCCGTTTGTGGATGGACCCGTCCGAGGCAATATTCTCAAGCTGGCGTGCCGGCACAGCTTCGGTGCTCAAGATTTGGCAGGTTCTAAGATTAGCGATTTTGTGTTAGCTAGGCTAGGCTTCCACAATACTAGCAAACTCTGTAGACCAAGCAATCATCAACGTCTATGCCCTGTTTCTGAAGTCTGATTAATTTATCGGATAGGCACCAACTTAAAAGCCGACGACGTGACTGTGAAACCTCCCCATTCATAATGAGGGAGGGCCGCGCGGAGCCCGTAAATATGTCATCCTGGATGGCTGATAACAGGCTAAGCCGACCTAGTCGGGCGGTCTGCCAGCAAAATTAATGTCTTCCCAGCGGCATTTTCAGGAGAGTGGTGCTCCGAATGTGCGCGGGCCGCTGGAGGACGTAATCATTTCGTCTCAGGCACGCTGGAAAGCTCGACTGTCGGCGACAGGAAAAAAATGGTGTCTCGGTTCTGGAAGCTTCTTCGCGCTTATTCAGCCCTGCCGATTGGCGCTGATCGATCATGTGTTCCTGATTCAAGGGACTTAATGGCTATAATAAAAAACCATGCTTTGTAGCCTCAATGCCCTTCAATCCGTTGAGTCGAGGAAAGGTAATGACATGTCACGTGATGGTGTTGTGAGGAAAATAACACCAACCGATTTTTGAGAGCACTCCGATCAATTTAGCACAGTCTCAGCTCCTGAAAATTTCGCTCGGGTTGGTCTGGCTGACTGGCGCTAGATTTTGCATTTCACGACCCACGCCTCATGAACTTCGCCAGAGGGCGGACGGAGGGAGAAGTCTTCGCCAGAGGGCGGACGGAAAGAGAAGTCTTCGCCAGAAGGGCGGACGAACTCCTCCCAACTTTCTCAATATTTAGCACACGCCGATGTTGCTCGGTAGAAAAGTATAGCTGGATGTAATCGTTGAAGGAATCCGGAACTTCCCTCCTACGTTCTAACCCATTATGGGTTCGCTTCAAAATCATGGCCGAAGGCAATCACTCACGACGGCGATCCTTGCGTACTTATTCAGACATGACAGCAGTCCGCGAAAACAAGGTGCCAGGGAACGTGGATAGAACATCTCTTTCGACAGCGTGGGGGTGCTTTCGGTTTTAAAATTTTAAATCGTAACAAGCTGTGACCTCTTGAACAGCCTATCGTATATCTCCATTACGTCTCATACTCTGTAAGTTGCTTGGCCCTGCTCAGTAGCAGGGAAACCCCTGCGGAGATGCGGGCGGGGGGGGGGGGGGGGAGGGCAAACAGTTGAGTTGACAGCTGAGTTTTACCGCGTTTCTTTCCTTTCACAGCTATAGGGATACTCTTAATGTTAGGCCACGCTGAGTTAAGAATGGCAGCTGCCCCCTCCCCCCCTCACCAGTGGTTTAGACAGTATTTCGCGGCTGGCTCGGATCAGACGACGGTTCGCAATTCAAAAGACATTCTTCGGCTCGGGATCCTAATTTAATGCTCGTCATTCATGAGCCTGTTTTATTTCTAGGAAGTCCGCCGGTCATCTTAAACTGTCCAAAATCTCACGGGACCCATCACCTCCGGGGAGGGGGGGGGGGGGGCGGGGAATGGCTGCAAATGCTCCCCGTTTGGCTACGCCACTGCCCCGAAGCCGCCTCATTGGTCGTCGTTGTGGTCTTGTTGAGTTAGCTATAGCAGCTAAATTGTAATTCTCATTCGGTTTAGGCCTCCTTAATTAATGTGTGCGTCTACCAACTACACCAAAAAATCGTATTGATCTTGTAAAAAACGAGCGCCGCTGCAAAAACGCAGGAACCCGGAGGCGCTGCACATGTAACGCGGTTTCACGCTTTCCAAAAACGTCATCCGGATGGAATAAGTCCGCATCGGGCCTGATGACGCCCACCAGGAGGCCTGGGCCAGCCACCAGGAGGCCCTGGGTCACCAAAAGGCCCAAGGCCAGTCACCAGGAGGCCCGGGTCAGCCACCAGGAGGCCCGGTCTACCAGAAGGCCTTAAGCCGGTCACTAGGAGGGGTCGGGCCGCCAGGAGTTTACGGGTCGCCAAGGGGCATCGGTCCACCAGGAGGTGCCCTGGCTGCCATGGTACGGTCTGAGGCACATTGAGTGATATTACTGGAAGCGTGGTAGAAGGAAGTTAATCAAACCTCTCGGAAACAGTGACCGCAGGGCATTCGGCGCAGACGTCGGACGTCATGGCACATATATGTATGTTCGCACGTAAGCATTGACCCTACAACTCACTCCTTTGCAAACCTCTACCGCATGCCATCTGCCGCAGAACCTGGTGCAAAAGCTTCCAACCCAATTTTGTGACCGTGTTGTCGTGTGTCCACGCAAGGTACTAGCCCGACAGACACCATGTGTGTTGAGCCCGCACAACACTGAAATGTTGTGATTGGCAAGGCTTCTGACGCTATCTCCTGTCGCATCAAACATGCCCCGAAGAAAGTCTTGTCAAAGCGCATAGTCGTAATCGAAGTCCAGAACCAGAATGCATATACCCGAAGCTGACGCACACTTGTCACCACGTTGCCATATCTGCGCCAATGGGGCGCTCGCCTCGGCACGCGGACTGAAGCCACCCTCAGTCAGCGATGCGCTCCTCAGGAAGCGCTACAGGGTGTGTACGCCGGTGGGGAAGACGGCGTTGGAGGCGACGCCGCACATGTTGACTCCGCGCTTCATCTTCATGAAGCCGGCTTCGCCCCACATGGTGCCCCAGCTGTTGGCCAGCAGCCAGAACTGGTTGCCGCCCTCAGCACCATAGCCCGCCGCCAGCATGACGTGGTCGTACTGCGTCTGCGAGCAGTGCCTCTCACTGTAAATGCCGCCGGCGTAGAGCTGGAAGGAGATGTGTCCGGCGTCGAGCGTGACGGGCACAGGGTTCTGCAGCACGCCGTCCAGCAGCGCCGTTGCGTCGCCGGCCGGCACGGTGTGCACGTGGTCCGCGGTGGCCGCCATCGGCAGGTCGGCCGGGCACGGCCGGCTGGCGGGGTAGTCGGCCTCCGATGCCATGCCGTATCGGTGCACGCGGTCCAGCGCCACCGCCGTGGGGGTGAACGAATGGAAGGCGACGCAGTCGGTCAGGTTGTGTTGGCTCAGCGCCAGCGCCGCTTCCCCGGCGATGATCAGCCCGCTCTCCACGGCCGTCGTCACGTGGATCGCCCAGGCCGCTCCCATCGCACCCTGGTCCTTGATGGGGATGGGCACACCCTGGTCCCGCCAGTCGAAGTGGTCCGGTTGGGTTCGGTTCGTTCGGGCATAGTGCGGTCCGGCGTGGTCGGAGACCGCGGGTGTCGACCGCGCCTCTGTCAACAACAGCAGACGAAACTCGGAATTGGTAAGGTCAGCGAACTGGTTTACTCCCAGCCGGTAAGTGCTGCGACCGGCGTCATGTTCGGCGTTGTGCCTCTCGATGATGTCCAAGTTGTAGAGGAACACCTGGCGCCGAAAGCTCTCCTGTTCCGGCGTGTAAGCCCGCTGATGCTGGCGCTTGAAGGACTCCCACGCGTCCAGCGACGCGGAGCGAAGCGGCAGAAATGGCGCAGCAAGCGCCAGCGTGAGCAGGAATCTCCTGCAACACCGCATGCACGGTGTTTGTTTCGCAGGTTTTCAGATAACGTTTAAACGCGTAGAGGGCTGCAGGTATTCGAGGGCACTGTCCAGGTTACGATTTTAATACTCTCAGACATGGTTTCGGACTGTACACAAAAGCCTTTTTGCCTCTCGATAACCGCTGCGTGTCCACGCCAGGGGTGAGCTTCCTATTCAATTGAGAGCTTCAGCCAGGGGCGGAGTTTCACAAAATAAGTATGGGAGGGGGCTGAACAGCGCTGATTAACGTACCACACACCCAAAACATGCCAACAAACGGGGGTTCTCTCCGGATGTGGCTTCATTTCTCCTCGCAGTTGGAGGGGGGGGGGGGGGGGGCTGAAAGTATTTTCAAGATCGGTTTTGTCATGCTTCACAGCTCAGTCCCCACCTCAGCTTACAAAATGACACTCCTGGTCCAACCGCTCTCGGCTGAAGATGGCGTTTTTGTACTCGTGCCCGGTTTCGGGAATGTTGAGTTTGACCTCTCTCTCGTTTATTATTGGCGGTGCACCAGCGCACATTTTAACATGATTGGTCGGACAGTTTGAAGTCTGTAACTGAATTGTGGCAGGTGCATTCACCTACATCGCACAAATAGTTTAACGCATTCATCTGCTGTGGTTGCTAGGATCTGGCATACAACCTTAAAGGGAGTGTTCCACATTTGTATGGGGTTTTGAAGTGAAAAAGTCATCTTGAAGATCGTTCGGTGCAGCTCACAATCCTGACCTCCTTAAGACCTAAATCCTTCCAGTCTCTGAACTAAAGGCCCGCGAAGATGTGCGAACTTTTTCGGGGAGACTATTTCAAGGTCACATAGACATCCATGACATTATAATGACGTCATTGAAATCCTGCCACTCCATTGGCCATGCGACGATCAAGGTCCAAGAACTATAATTGTCGAGTCTTTCATACCTGGCGTTCGTGAGCACGATGTCCAGATATTAGGTCGTCAATTGGTTCTCAATCAATGTTGTTCATGGCACCATGACGCAATAAAAAAGGACGTGTCAAGGAGCATCTTTGCCTAAAAACGGGAAAATTGTGTTGTCTTGAACAGTCTTTTCCACTTAAAAGTACATCAATAGTTATAAGTGAGCTTATTTCATCACATCTGATGCCAGCTTCAATATCTTCAACTGTGGAACTTTCCTTTTAAAGGATCCCAAAATGCGCGGGTGCGTGGTTTGCGCAAAGTAGCGCGTGACGGTTTGCAAACAGCAACACACACACACTTGCATACCCTAGTCTACGCGAGGGGCTGTTCTTTTTCCTCTCTGATCGTCTCATACCGTCGTGGCGTTGGGTTGTCGTTAAGTCCTGGACCCGGTTTTGACCAGTGTCTTAATCTTTTTCTCAGCTTCAGAGTTTTGGTATGCCATGTTAGTCGGGTAATATTTAAGTTGTATGTCCATTTGCAGTCCACGCGTCCTAATCCCCCTTCCCCGCCCAACCCGTCCGGTGAGGTTGAAAAGTCGTAGTTATACTGCAATGTTCCAATAAACGTGTGCCCAATCGAACATTTAACATCCAGGTACCGGAGGGTTATACAGCATAACATTTTAAAAAATGCGCCTTATGTTGCTGGAGACTGCATGAGCCTACGATCAGTAGTTACAAAGATCGCTGCTCTTAAAAAGCACCACGGCTGGGCCAGAGCGCGCCGTACGTTATTTTACAGCACGCATTTTACGGACGCATGTTCTTTTATAGCGCGCAAGAAATTGCAGGTGCCTGTGGAACACCATACTCGGCTTTCAGTGACAATTTTCTTAACTGCCCCTTCCCTATCATTGCGAAATCCTTCGCACACTCGTGGGTTTGTTCTTCAGCCCTGCAACGCTGTCAAATGGGCTAACAGATTGTACTTACGGTCCCATAATTCACGTTCTTCTGCCACGCTTTCGGAACACAATGTAGGCTGGAGCACGGCTGCCTTCACGAGGCAAACGAGATAACAATGCCTTGAGAATTGTCCAGATGGCTTTTAAGCACAAGGGCATTCGCAGGATGGATGGTTATGGGAGCCAAAATATTATCGTCTGACATTCACTTGATCTCCACCTCACGTGCATTCTAGGTGAGAACATTCAATCACAACCGGAAAGAACACATGGCACATGTGTGCCTCTTTTGCACGCCATTGCCAGACGTTCGAGCCATCGAACTACCCGGTGCCTCCGCGTTCCCACCACATATCTGTGCGAGGCCGAGGCCAGATGCATTCAGACTGACTGTCACCTGGGCAGCTCTCAACGTTGCGATGTGTGCTGGTGGCCGGGCGCGGCTGAAGTCCGACGCGCGGAGACTGACGTGCCACCGGTATACTTACATGACATCGGTCCTAGAATGATCAGAACTGATCGTTTTAAAATGATCAAAATGATCAGAACTGATCATCATTTTGAAACGGAAACCATAACCACATTGTTTGCTTTCTAGCAGTCCCGCGGCGGCAAGTGCACGGCGCATAAAAACCTGCTACGAGCTGACACGTCTCACTTGTGATACAGTTACTCATGGGACCACCACCGACTGCTGAAGCAAGGGTCTCTTTACTCCGCACGACGTAGCCGAAGCCCTGACCGCTCGCAAACGCTCCTGTTACCTGCTCGGATCCCACCGAAGTCCTGACCGCTCGCAAACGCTCCTGCTACCTGCTCAGATCTTACCGAAGCCCTGACCGCTCGCAAACGCTCCTGTTACCTGCTCAGATCCCACCGAAGCCCTGACCGCTCGCAAACGCTCATGTTACCTGCTCAGATCCCACCGAAGCCCTGACCGCTCGCAAACGCTCATGTTACCTGCTCAGATCCCACCGAAGCCCTGACCGCTCGCAAACGCTCATGTTACCTGCTCAGATCCCACCGAAGCCCTGACCGCTCGCAAACGCTCATGTTACCTGCTCAGATCCCACACAACTGGCCCCCGAAATGTGCATTCGCAGTGACCCGAAAGACAAGAAATATTAGCCTTCGACGTCATTTACGACGTCATACCCAAAAGATCATGATGGCCTAGTAGTTAGCACATCGGACTCCTACGTGCCGGGGGGTCGAAACCCGGTTACGTTATGACCCACGTGCGCTAATATGGCAAACAGAGTCGCTAGGACTCCATAACAAGGAGCGTGACGACTCGCGTCACGTTCCTTTTTTATAAAAAACAGATTCTGCGTGACGTCACATAGGATGTTTGTCGGACGCACAGAGTTTTTCACTGTGACTTGACCGAAGTTAAACAGAACTGGCTTAATAACCTCGTTTAGAAACAGGTCAACATCTACGACTGACGAGTGACGACTAATGAACAAGTGGTGTTTCATACGTCACAAGCGGAATTATTTGCAGTTTACACCCGAAATGGAATTGGTTCTGGGCGCCTGGCTATTGCGACCGTCAGTCTGTGACGCTCCGTGGACCAAAAAGGCAAATTTTCGCCTTTACGTGCGATACTGGGCAGTGAGAGACATGGTGGAGACGGCAGTAAACTGAGTCAGTGGCTTGATGTTCATTAGCGACATTCCTAGGGTCACAGGTATCGCCTGCAGTCAGGATGAGGAGCGGGGGGGGGGACTTTGTGGAGGTCAGATCTGGCAATTCCATGTCGCGTCACTATGAAGTTTTTCGACCCGAACGTATTTACATGTTGAAGGCGTCTGGTAACGGGTTTTACAACGGCACATCTAAAATTCTTCAAGGCCGTTTTAATACAAACTGAGTATCACGTGTGTTCCAGGTTCGGGGTTAAAGTGGAAGCGGTTTATCACATATTTCCACACCAGACCGTATCATTACACCATGTCGTGCGTCCCATACGGACGACGTTCGGTGAACGGGACCGACTGCTTTCTAAATCTTCCGTCCATTCCGTTGACTGAATAGTTCATCTTAGACCGGAGCATTTATATAATTGTAAACTTCCTGGCTATGTTAAATTATTTGTCAAAACATTGGTGGTGTGACTTCTGAAATATCTTAGCGGGAGTTACTGCCCCAGTTTGTGTCACTTTTCAGGATGTCTTTTACGACAGCACAGTCAACGAGTGTACTAGTGTACTCTGCGATTTTGCGATATATCTTGCGCCTGTTTGTTTTTAATGGATGGTATAACGTTTTAGCCATATAATGATAATACGCATCGATTATAATCGGCGATATCATCGGCAACGCCTGGCATAGATGTAACACATCTATATCTCCTTTCTTTTCGTTATTCAACGAGGAATACGGCTAAAAATACTGTCTTATCTAAGACCAATAGATAAGTTACATCAGTGTCACAAGACCGGAATCCATCTCCATTCATCATAGCGCTTTCCACGCTAGCGTTGATTTGACTGGTGCATAAGATGGTCTCGCCACATTCCTCAGACATCTGAATCCTAAGTGCACAGAAATTAGGATACGCAGGTGGCAAATCCTCATCGTTTGCTGTCAGCCATATCAAAATAGCCCGTAAACGCTTGTGTGGGATCCCCTTTGTTTCGAAATAATCACCGATAAGCCATTTTACATTGTGCATTTGACCCATGAGACCAAAACACGAAGTACAGCGAGCGTGAAACGACGAACAGATTCATGACGATAAAACAAACTTGTCTGCGTAGAGAACGTTTCGGCCATTACGAAAGATTAACGAAAACTCTTGTGTATCGCTCCTGTTTATCCTGATTTTCAAACACTTCAGATTTGTTTCCAAGTAAAGCTCCTGTCAACAGATGTTTGCGTGAAAAGGGCTAGTACAAAGCTGCCACACTCGGGACCCTTTCAGGCGGAACCAGCACTGGCAATTATTTCTGTAAAGAGATGGACAATCGGTCATCTTATGTTTTTCCCGAACTCCCACAGTTACGGTACTTTTAATCCACTCACTCAAAATGAGCTACCATTCTCCGTCCGTTATCAATGGGATACCTCAGCTGATCGCTGACACAGCAGGTATGTGATGCGGTGTGATGTCTCCAGGCACGGTATGCGATGCCGTGTGACGTCGCCGGGCACGGTATGCGATACTGGATGACGTCACCAGGTGTGGTATGTGATGCCGAGTGACGTGACTAGGCACGGTATGAGACGTCGCCTGGCACGGTATGTAATGCTGGGTGACGTCACCATGCACGGTATGTGCTGTCGGGTGACGTCACCAGGCACGGCATACACTGCCGGGTGACGTCACCAGGCACGGCATGCAATTCCTGGTGACGTCACCAGGCACAGTATGCCATGCTGGGTACCGTCTCCAAACACCTGACGTCCGCCGCATTATTCCAGAGCACGTGACTTACAACAGGATTCTACTCGTGCATTAGCCAAATGACACTCTCCCAGCCAGTTTTACTAGCCCACCCCAGTCACACTCTCTAAGCCATGGTATACCCCCCCCCCCCCTCCCCCTCCCATCTCCAGCTGCAGTGCATTATTCCACCCCTCCAGCCACGGGACATCACACACACCCTCCCAGCCACAGTACACCATTCCACTCTTCCAGTTATAGCACAACATATCAGGCCTATCAGTGACAGTGCAGCATCCCGCTCCTTCGGCCACAGTAACCTTCCCCAGTCGTAGTGCAGCATCCTACGCTCTGAATCACATAACCACCTCAGTAATCACCTCATTCAATCAGCGATGACCCACGCCGCTGACATGGGTAGGCCCGGCCAGCGGAGGTACACCAATGCCGCTGGACTGCCTCGCTCCGCCGCCGCGCCCCTCGGCCTGGGACGGTCCCAGTCGTACCCCACCGTGTCGCTGACCCGCCCCGCGCCGCCGCCGCGCCCCTCGGCCTGAGACGGCCCCAGTCGCGTCCCGCTGTGCCGCTGGCCTGCCCCGCGCCGCCGCCGCGCCCCTCGGCCTGAGACGGCCCCAGTCGCGTCCCGCTGTGCCGCTGGCCTGCCCCGCGCCGCCGCCGCGCCCCTCCGCCTGGAACAGCCCCAGTCGCGTCCCGCTGTGCCGCTGGCCTGCCTCGCGCCGCCGCCGCGCCCCCCGGCCTGAGACAGCCCCAGTCGCGTCCCGCTGTGCCGCTGGCCTGCCTCGCGCCGCCGCCGCGCCGCTCCGCCTGGAAAAGCCCCAGTCGCGTCCCGCTGTGCCGCTGATTTGTCCCGCGCCGCCGCCGCGCCCCTCCGCCTGGGACGGCCCCAGTCGCGTCCCGCTGTCACAGCCGGTGACCGAGCGGCGCCCGACGGCGGCGCGCGCGCCTGCCACGCTCCCTCGCCACCGGACCGCGTGTTTTGTCCGCACCGACGGCCGGCTGGCGCGTGGCCAACGTCGACGCCGACGAGCGACGACTGAGAAGCCGACCGGGGCTGAGGCGCCGCGCCACGATGGGAAACAGCTCACTTTCGTCGGATGGGTACTTGCACCTCCGGTTCCGTCGACTGCGACGCTTTTCTCTTGTGTCGACCTCTTACACGGTAAATGGTCAGGTAAATATACAATGAAAGCATTTTTTTTGGGGGGGGGGCAGGGCCTGCCAGAGCGGTATTCTGGATTTTGTGTATTCTAGGCACGCCGTCGTGCTATTATTTGAAACGTTTCTCACAATCGGGACTTTTGGTTCCTCCAATAGATCTTTACGGAGCTATAAAGCTGTTTCAACAATGTTGTGCCAGATGCTTCTCTTTATGCTGGCTTTGCATCGCTCGGTGCCTTGTTTGCGGGGCTGCTCTGCTGCAGATGTCTGGCTGCTCGTTGCTCCGAAATATGTCAGGCCGCCCATTCCTCCGAAATATTATCTAGGGTGCTGCTGAAAGACGAACCAGTGAAGCTACATGAAATTATTCCAACAGCAGATTTTCGGCAATGTAGAAATCAGAGCCTCCTCATCCAGCGCATCCTGGGCACCTACAGATATGTAACAAAGTGAGGTCTCTGACAACATTTTCATTGTGACATATCTGCAGCTTTAGTTAAAAGGTCTCTTCGCAAAGGGGCGTAGGATCTATGCCTCAGTTCCACGAGTGCTGCTGTGTGTAGCCGCTGTTTAGTAACATGCCATACCATTTTAAGGATAGGGCTGAAGGCATGCATTTGTGAGCTGGAATGCCGTCACATCGGTCACATTGGATGCCTGTTTACCAGCGCGTGAGCCCGTTTAAGAGCTGTGAGAGTGACATGGCGATTTTAGAATTACACCCGTGAAGTAGCCTCGCTGAGCCTGTACCAATGTTGTCGCATTCTTTGTTTCCATAGGATTAGAAGCTGTAATGACAATGGACGGGCACATACCGTGCCTGTCAATTTTGCTTTGCTGCACGATTATGTGCGACGCATTAGTGCGACATGCTTTTTCCGAACCAAGCCATGTCTATCATGGAAAGCTGGCTCATTGTTACTAACAAGGTTTAGCCCTGCCAAAAATTCAGCTTTAAGCTTCTGCGTGGAAAGTTGCGGCATGCCCCAAATTGCAATCACTCTGCAAAGTTTGGTCGTAGCATGGAGCAAAACAGTAGACAAGCTTTGGGTAGTGGTTATTCGCCACGTTGATATCCTCAGCGTTTGGATCAGTCGCAGCGCGCGGAAGTGGCAATAGTTCAGTTATTCAGGGTTAATGGGGGTTGGCAAGCTGCCTTCTGGAACTTATGCTTTCTCCTCAGTTCAGCAAAGTTAGGAGATTTTCTGAATAAGTGTAATCGCTTTAAATGACGATCTATTCAGCTGGTGAACGCGTGATGTCGGTGCTCCGCCATCTTCGGGCTTGACGTTGGTGAAGATACATGGCGGCCACCTGTCAGTTCGGTGATTCAATGGCTGTGCATTGTGTGCCCTTAACGGATCCTGTTGTGACACAGGCTCGTGGTCGGTGCGGTGGAAGATAGCATGAAACCATATTGCCAGGTGAGAAACCTTGGAATAGTGAGCGTGCTGAGTCGCAAGTTCAAGAAAATATCTGCCATCTGCAGGTGAAAGACGCGAAACTGAAGACCTGCCATCTGCCATGTTGCTGTCAAGGCTCCAGATCTGCCCCAGGAGCAATGAAGAGTACGTCATCAAATTTGAAGGACAATATTAGTAACAGCCTTAAACACTTCTCCATCCGCACTACATAGTTAGGTCCCTACATCTCAAAACACCGCTGATGCGCTGTTGCTCATAGATGTCCAACGTTGAGCACCCGGAAGAGCCATGAGCTGCGTCTCCGCTCCGGTGGCCCGCGAGAGGCCCGGGTCCAGGGATCTAGAGGACCGCTCGCCAGACACTGCAGACCCGGGGTCAGCGCCGCCCTCTGTTACCCGCGACGGTCGCTGCTGACCGAGATGGTCCGATACCGCACGGCCGTCACGAGCAGGGCGAGCGGAGATCGGCCGCGCTCGGGGCGACTCAGCCACATACCAAGTGGCCAGGGTGGGCAGAGCGATCGTGCCAAGGTCCTCGGACTCTGAGGAGAGACGGCCAAGTGACTGCGGACAGAGGTGGACTCACGGGAATGGCGGGGCAGACGAGACACGACTGGATAGGAAACCATTCCGTCGGGTTATTTTAGTCAGTGTATCTGCCTGACTTACCGTAATTCTGACGCAAGAACATGCTAGGTTAGAACTTGTTTGTAAAACTATGTAAGATTCCACATGCCTGGACGAATCAATCAGATAAGCCCGCCGATCCACACAGGTCGGAGGGCGTAGTAACCTAGGCCAGCCCGCCCGTCATTGGGAAAATGGCGGAGGGACGCACCCGGGGGGACGGAGGCAGCACCTGCGGACCGGCACTCGCGCCAGGACCGGGACACAGCGGAGGGCCGGCCGTCAGGCGTTCGCGTCCCGCCGGTGCTGGCATTCTCCGGCCGTTTTGAATAGGCCGCATAAATAAGGGCCGGCGCCGTGTAATCAAGGCTCGGCCGCCGATAAAACGCCGACGAATCATGCAATCTGAGAGGGCGGCGGGCGGCGGCGCCAGGACCGGCCGGTCGGCCGGCGGTGCCCGCTGGCTCGCCGGATCAATGCCGACATGCACGGCCCAGGAGCGGGGAGCACGGGAGCCGTGGACGAGTCGACTGCGCGCCGCAGGGGAGGCCGTCGTGCCGCAGCGGAGCTGTGAAAATGACAGCGGCGGCGGGCTGGCGGGGTGGGCGGCCGCACAGCGGCTCAGTCGAGCCCGGGCGGCGGCGGTGGGAGGGTGCTGTGATCGGCCGCTCCCTGTGGAGGCCGCCGCACCGGTACAGCACGAGACCGGGCTGCCAGCTGTCGGCTACTCCAACAATAGCCGGTGTGAGCGCGACGATCGGCAGCCATTCACAGCCGTCCCTCGACGATCGCTTTCAAGAGGTGAAGGATTACGGTCAGGCCTGGTGAGAGAATATCGGGGGTCGGTCCCAGGTGTGTCTGTGTGCTTGAGCGGTGTTTTCCGAGGTGCTGCAGCGAGCAGCTGTCGTGTGAGAGTGCGCGTGGTTCCCGTCGGGGAGGTGACTATTATTCCGGTGCTGTGAATTACACGTGAGCGCGACGGTGCGCTGAGGCGACCCCAGTCGGGGCGCTGGGCCCGGCGGTGTGCGCGTGTCCGGGGCCGGCTGGAGACCGCGTGCCTTGGATCTGTGACGCCCCCGGGCTACTGCAGCGCTCGATACCTCGGCCGGACGACGCCACCATCGAACATCGCCGGCGGATCGGACCATCGATTCCAACACAG